AAACGTAATTTCAGAGATCAGTAATTATACAGGACAGTAGGAAAATTATTTATGGAAGATCATGGTAACTAGTGACTTTATAAACAGACAAGAAGTAAGAATGTAACCAAATAAATCAACAGGAACTGACCAGCTGTTTTCAAGAACTCTAAAGGAATGTCAGGAGTAACATAGCAAATCATTAAGTCGTCTCTTAAATAGAAAACTACGACTGGATATCGTCATGGATAAATGGAATAGCAAATGAGATACTCTCAGCTTCAAATTACACTCTAGTCAGCCTAAACTCAACTCTGGGAAAGTTGATGGAATCTATAATTGCATATGCAATTCGGAAGACATAATTTGATCAATAATCTGGGCACGGTTTTATAAGGAAGACTCTTGCCTTACGAATTAACTAACCTCTTAGAAGAATAAAAAGGCGACGAATGTTTCAGTCTACTAAGCGAGGTTAATTTGTGTAAACTCTTTGATTCAGATATTTGAGGCAGTAAACTATGATAAGGAATGTCTCTTGATAGGGTTCCACACATGGTACACAAGATATTACATCTTGAGTAAGGCATGGTTGACTAATGGGCAACAGAGAATAGATTGTAGATGAATGGTTCAGAGAACCGACGTGTTGATAAATTAGACACATGTGCAACTCTTGGGTATCTTTATTGTGGAAACGTTTCGCCACACAGTGGCTTCATCAGTCCGTACGTAGGAGAAACTTGAAGAACAGGAGGAGAATGAGGTAATCAGTCCCTCAGTACCTCATTCTCCTCCTGTTCTTCAAGCTTCTCCTACGTACGGACTGATGAAGCCACTGTGTGGCGAAACGTTTCCACAATAAAGATACCCAAGAGTTGCACATGTGTCTAATTTATCAGAGAATATATTATTGATGTCATGCTGTGCACTATCCACAAGAGGTGAAAAAAAAGACATGTGGAACTGTTGTGTAAGTTGATTACTGAAACGTTTCGCTTGCTTAGCAAGTTTCATCAATCGATCACAGGCGAATATAACACAATAGACAATAGAAGTAATGTGAGATGGTGTATATCTCATGCTGAGCGACTGACTACTTCAAGATTACTTCCCTTTCTGTCCGCACTGTTATTCGCCTGTACTCAGTTGAAGAAGCCTGCTTCGCAGACGATGATTTTCGGCAATGAATGTACACAAATGTTACACTTGTCTTAGTCATCAAGCAACAGTGGGTGTTCATAAAGCAAAGGAAATCTAAATGGGTGCCTGTTATACGTGGAGTCACAGCTGTTACTTTGGGGACTCTTGTTCGCACTGTACATAAACGACGTAGATGGGGAGTAAATAGCAACTCAAGCAAGTTTGCCAGTGACACTAAAATAGGCTGTCAAGTAATTTCTGAAGAATTCAGACTGCTATAGGATGAACTGGATTGGTTGAAATTGTAGTCGGGGAAGTGGCAGATTCACCTCAATGTTGACAATCCGAGGAAACAGAAAATAACTATGTAGAACTTAGTTAAAGTGTATGGGAGAAAGATTTAGTTGTTCTGGTTAGCATAAATCTAAAGCTATGAGTAAAGCTCATAAATATCCGATATAATGCTAATGAGTCTTGGCAGTATTTCAGAAAAAATATATACATATTATGTAATAAAATATACCTGTTGGTAAAAAACCAATGAAAAGATGGGGTGGTAAGGGAAGTAAAATATTCAAATGGCTTCGGGAAGAAATCCAAATATTCTTCCTTGAAGCCTTTTTATCCACTTCTCCGAGGCTGTGGGTCCCATAGTTTGTACCAGAGGTGGACTCCATCTCCTGAAGTTATATTACAATTTTGTTTTTGAGGCCTAATAAAGAATGAGCTGTTCATTTCTGGTCTTCGTACAATAGAATGAACACAAAATCACTCGAAAATGCAGAGTTAATCCCTTGTATCAAAAATCTGTCCTACTAAGATTGGGAAAAGGAACTGAATTGGGACTCAGGAAAAACGTAACATTAAAGGATATGACTGAAGTGTACAAATGGAAAAGAAGCATAAATTAAGGAGATATAAATAACGTGCTAGAATATCTAATCACGACGGGACTTACAGCAATAGTTGGACAAATTTACATATAGTAATAAATAGGGAAGAACTGGTTTTGCAATCATTTTTTAGATGAGTGGAACAAACTCCCAAAGTAGTGTAACTAAAGCAAGAACTTTCGGGATCTTAAGCTATATTTTGAACTGATACATGCATCGGTGTTTTGTATTTATTATATCACTCCTGTCCCTCCTGTCCTTCAGTGTCATCAGGTTGAGTTCCTTTAACCTCTCCTTATAGGACATACCTTTTTACTCCAGGACTAGACTTTCTGCAGATCTCTGCATTTTTCTCCAATTTCTTGTGGTCTCCTTTGTCCTTCCCCAATCTTCATAACTTTGCACTTGCTGGGGTTAAACTCCAGAAGCCATTTGTCAGACCAGGCTTGCAGCCTGTTCAGATCTCCTTGTAGGCTTACCTTATCTTCTTCCTCTAGTATTATCTTCATTAGTTTCACATCGTCTGCAAACAGGGACACCTCTGATTCTATCCCTTCCGTCATATCATTCACATATCCAA